TTGGGAAGAATGTGTGAGGTGCATTTTACAAGTTGAGAGCACATGTGTGAGAAAAATTCTCTAATGAGAAACTGCTAATGGCTCAAACACGTGAGGATGTCAAGCAGTCTAGGTAATGTATGAGATGTTCTTTACATAGACATTTATACATCCTTTCAAATCAGACTCAGGCCTGACAAGTGTTAATAAGGGGGTGGAAAGGAAAGAGGAGGGAACACAGAGAAAAAGAACTATGCTAAGATGTTCATCACGGGGAAGAACTTTAAGCACATTATCTTATTTTTCTCTAGTTCCTGACATGTCAAAACCACCCTGCTATCCTAGACTAAGGAAATCATGAGTATCCCTATGCAGTGTGCTATATTATTATGTGCTTCCTCACCTCTCTTCTCCCTAGATGGGGAGCTTCGTGTCTTACCATCTGTGTCTCCTTGGATTAGGAACTCTCTGATCTAACCCTGATTGGATATTCAGAAATACACCATCCATGAGTGACGCAAATGAACTCAAAAGACAGTCTTCCCTCCAGCAGCCTTTAGGGAGTCACTACCCCGCCTTTTAGAAGGGCTTGCATTATTGCCAGTCTAATGTATTGCCAGTCCCTGATGATGTTACTACGGCTCAGTGAATTTTACCTAACAGTCAGAAGGTCACTGAGCCCCTGATTAGAGACACAGTGGAGATGAGGAGGAGAGGGAGAGGAACAGAGAAGCCATTAAAACAGCAGATGAAAGCAGTTCCCAAGCCATGTCACACTTATCAGTGTTTCCAGAACACTGGCTAGAGACGCAATGAGGTTCAGGTCCCTAGCCAACTAGTTAATTATAGCAAATTTGGGATTTCCCTCAACTACTTTGAATACATATATAACTCAACAACAGGCATAATGACTGAGGCACAAAGAAAGATTTAAGTTTTGATCAGGATTAATATACATGATTCTGTGGGTAAAACAAAACACGAATCTATAATGTTTCAGTGAGACCGGCTGGCCACTGAGCTCCAGGGATCTGTAGCCAAATGCAGAGCTTAAGGGTTAGTGATTCCACCTCAACAATTAAGGAGGAGAGTGGTGAAGATGTCAGTGTTTGGATGGCTTGCGCACATACTTGTTCCTCCCTGCAACAAACCCCAACCCAGATTCAACCATAACCTCATAGTTAGGTGAAGGTCATCAAGTGAACTTCTGGATGAGGTCCAGGGGACCAGTTCTTGGTTGCCAAATACAGTGAACCAAAACATTGTTTTTGTGTCCTAGGTTCCCCCACGTTCTTCCTGACTTGGCACCTGGCTTTCGAGATGTCTTTCTATGATGTCTAATTCAGGGGTCATCAACCTTTCTAATACCTTGACTGTTTAATACAGTTCCCCGCATTAAACTGTTATGGTGGTAACCCCAACCATAAAATTATTTTTGTTGCTATTTCATAACTGTGATTTTGCTACTGTTATGAATTGTAATGTAAATATCTGATATGTAGATGATCTTAGGCAACCCTTGGGAAATGGTTGTTTGACCCCCAAATGGACTGTAACCCACTGGTTGAAAACCACTGGTCTCGTTCTTTGTTTTGTTGTCTTTTCCCCTGCTGGTCTCCCTTCTTACCAACTCCGAGGCTAGGCCGAGGCTCTGTCCTCTCTCTGAGACCGGTGCTCACAGTGATCAGGTGAGGAATGCCTGTCTACTGAAACACCAGTCCGAGCGCTGGTGTGAAAGGGATCCCTGCCAAGACTTCTTCCCCATCTTGTGGCACAGACATGAAAGGTCTTGGTTCTAGTTTTTTCCAGCTTGATTTCTCCATACATTTCAACCAAGGTATGTGGCGTTTTTAACAACAGGGTCTTAACAAATAGTTCCAGTGGGCAACCAGGAAGAAAGGCAAGAGTCTGTCTGGTTTGGGGGCTTCTGGAGGATCCCTGACCAACTCATAATGAGATGTCTTTAATCTGACCCTGGGGATTTTGTTTAGGAACTCTGGACTTTCTGATACAGCATCATCCAGAATGTTCCCCTGTAACTCTCTCCCTCTCAACTTACAGTTTTAGATTGGCTTACACAGCAGTAAGCTTCCATATTGCTTTTCCATACAATCTCATGTTCGTCCAATCCTTCCTTCTTCCTCTGCCGCCACACTCCCTGCTTAAGCTCTCTACCCCTCCCTTTACATCGTCTGTGCTCTGTTTTCCATCTACTTTAAGATATCACTCACTCCAATGCCCCTCCCTAACGTCTTTACTTCTCAGATTAGCGCCTAGATCTAAAGACCCATGTATGAGAGAGAGCATACAGTGTTCATCTATTGGAGTATGGGTTACCTTGCTCCATATAGTTTTTCTAGCTCCATTCATTTTCCTGAAAATTGCCTACTTTCATTTTTCTTTATAGCTTTATAAAATTCTATGCACCATATTTTTTCTTCCATCGGCTCATGAGTATCCAGCCTTGTTTCATTTTCTCACTATTGTGAAGAAAGCAGCAATGAAATGCTTGAGTATATTTCTGTAGCAAGGCATTGAGTTTTTTGGGAACATGCCCAGGAGTGGTTTAGCTAGGTCAAGTAGTAGTAGATCTACTTCTAGTACCTTTCGAGGAAACTCCATACTGATTTCCACGGTGACTATACAAGTTTAAGATCCAAAAAACAATGACCATAGGTTCCTCTTTCCCCATGTCTTTGCTAGCGTTTGTCATCATTACTTTTTTGATGATAGCTATTCTAACTGGAAGAAGTCGAAATCCCAAAGTAGTTTTAATTTGGTGGTTAATGATGTGGGACACCTCAAAGGTGTTCATTAGACATCTGTGTTTGTTTTGAGAACTCTGTTCAGAACTATGGTCCACTTTTTGATTGAGTTTTTTTTTTCTTAGTGTTTCATTTTATGTGTTCTTTGAATAATCTGGTATTAATTCTCTTAGGGTGACAGAGCTGGCCAGGACTTTCTCCCATTCAGTGGGCTGCCTCTTCACTTGACTGAAAGTCTGCTTTGCTGTACCGAAGCATTTTAGTGTCATGAGATCCATTTCTCAGTTGTTGGTCTTATCCCCTGTGGTTCTGGAAAGTCCTTCTATATGCTGAAGCGTACCCCCCATTTTCTCCTTCTATCAGTTTCAGGGTATCAGGTCTTACGTTGAGGTCCTTTATCTATTTGGAGTTGAGTTTTGTGCAGCGGGTTAGGAAGGGATCTAGTTTCACTCCCCTCTATGTTGCTAGCCTGTTTCCTGGCACCATTTGTTGAAGATGCTGTCTTTTCTCCACTGTGTATTTTTGAGTCTTGTCAATAACCAAATGTCTGTAGGAGTGTGGGCTTATGCCTGGGTCCTCACTTATATTCCATTGTTAAGTTCGTCTCTTTTTGTCTTTAGTACTATGGCTCTGCAGTGTGACTTGAAATCAGGCATTTCTTACCTATTTCTTTTTTGGCACCATATTTCTTATAATATTCTTTATTGTTCAGTAGTTGAGTATGTTTTTTTAACTATCTTTGGTCTTTATACTTTCAAATAGATTTTAAAATTTCTTTTTGGTTGTTTCTGTGAAGAGTGATCCTGAAATTCTGGTTGGGATTGCATTGAATTTGTACATTGTTTTTGGCAGGATGGCTGTTTTCACATTAATTCTTCCAATATGAGCATAGGCAATCATTTGCTTTCCTGGTGTCTTTCACAATCCCTCCCTCCCTCCCTCCCTTCCTCCTTTTCTTCCTTTCTTCCTCCATCCCTTCCTCCTCCCCTTTCTCCCTCCCTTTATTTTCCTTTCCTCCCTCCCTCTCTCCCTTCTTTCTTTCTTCCCTTCCTCCCTTTCTTTCTTCTTTCCTTCCTCCCTTCCTCCTCCCTCCCTTTCTTTCTTCCTTCCTCCCTACCTTACTTCATTCCTTCCTTCTCCTTCCCTTTCTTTCTTTCTTTCTTTCTTTCTTTCTTTCTTTCTTTCTTTCTTTCTCTCTCTCTCTCTCTCTCTCTCTTTCTTTCTTTCTTTCTGTGTTATATGAGCACATGTATGAGGGTGTACATACCTAGTGCACGCATGTAAAGGCCAGAGGAGGGCATAGAGCATCTTCTATTGCTCTCTACTTCAGTTTTTGAGACCCTGTGACACAGTGAACCTGAAGCTTCCCATTTTGGATAGGTGTGCTGGGCCCTTGAGCACACCTCAAGGATCACAAGTCTCCATCCCTTGATGCTGGGCATGTGTAGTCATGCCTGGCTTTTACCTGGTGTTGGGGATTCAAATTCATGCCCTCTTGTTTGCACAACAAGTGCTCTAACCCACTGAACCATTTTCCCCACTCAGAAGCAGCAGGATTTTCTATTTTCCTTTGTCTGGGCTCCCTGGTTAGTCTTCCAAGATCGCTCATGGTCCATCTGCCACCCACCTTATAAAGATTTAAGCCCTACACATTCAGATTTAAGCCTCTGTTATTCCCTGAACAACACAGGGCTTTTCAGCTTCCAGGAAAATTTCCATATGCTTTTTCTACCTGGAACACCCCTGCCCCAAGTCTTGCATGCCCACATTCTGTTTGTATGGAAAATTAAGAATAGAAAACAAAACAAACAGAGGAGCCCAGAGTCTGTCACCCTGCTGCAATCCCAGCACGTAGACAACCGTGGTAGAAAAGTCTGGATTCGAAGCTACACAGTGAGTAAGGCAGCCTCACTCTATAACAGGACTGTCTTAACAAACACACACCATCGCAGCGGGCACATAAGCAAACCAATGTTGAGTAGCTAGATTTAGTCATTCCATGCTATCTCACACTGTACCCCATAAATGTACACAACTATGATTTGTCTAATAAAAACCCCAATGCCTCTTTTAGTCTACCAGGCTCAGGCAGAATGAACCTTCCCTTTCCCACTTTATGATGCGTCCGCTCCTTCTGAATGAGGTTTGCATTTCAGCGGACAGGAGAGTTTGTGTTTAATTAGCCTGTGTATTCCCCAGCCTCTCCCAAAGCTTCGCCAGCATCAGAACATACCGACGCACGGATGGATCGCTCACCTGCCACTTGGCAGTTAATGGTCACATTCACGCCTCGCACTGTCCGGATGGTGCCTCCGACATCCACCGTGACTGCAGGCTTCTCTGTGTTGAGCACGGTCATTCGGGATGTTTTCATGAGTGGCTTTCCTGGAGATATGAAAGAAAGTGAGCTGTCACTAATAGTGTTGTGGGCTGAGGTACTGAAACACCGGGAGGCCAGCAGAGAACACATGTTCTTCTCGGGCATACCCCATGCCACGCTTTTCCTGGGAAAAAAAATCTGGAACCTTTTATCTGTCCACTCATGCACCCACCATAGACTTAATAGGAAAAAAAACCCCAAAACAACAACAACAACAACAACAACAACAACAACAAACAAAAGAGGTTGAAGAGTTTGAAGAGACGAACATGGTGCCCAAGTGAGGATAACATACACTTTCAATCAATATAAAATATAAAAGATAGATTTTAAGGACTTAGTTTGTACTTTGAGACAGTTCTGCAATTCACACAGTTGTAAGAAGTTACACAGAGCAGCCCCATGTAACTTGTACCCAGTTTTCCTATAATGCAATCACGTTACTCAACTACAGCACTTTCACGGTCACAGGTGGACACTGACAAGGGTAAGCCGCAGAACGTCTGCCCCTCTCAGCAGCCCTCATGAAGTCTATGAGCTCTCCTAGATTCTTCGGCCACCATTCCTATGGCTTTTGTTCCCTTGTTTTCAGCATCTGACGTGTCATGTAGATGGAATCTGACAGTTGGTCACCTTTCATGCTTGACTTCCTGCCAGCTCTCTGAGCTCTCCAGAGATTCTTCCAGTTCTTATATCAAATTATGGTTCCATTTTTTAATGGTGTGGTACTTTTTATCGCAGAGTAGTATTCTATGACATAGGAAAACCATAGTTTGTCTTTTTCTGGTCAGCTGCTGTAGAATATTTGGGTGGCTTCCAGATCTTGATGCAGCTGTTATAAACACTCTGGTACAGGTAGCTGTGGGGACATCTGTCTTCATTTCTCTGACATCAGTGTGTAGGAATGCAGTTGAGATGTCATATGGCAGTCCCCCTCCCTCTCTCCTCAATACTTTTTATTTCTTTCACCCGATAGTTGCACAGAGGCATCTTAGTGTGGCTTAAGTTGCCGATCCTTCATGGCTGATGCGTGAGCTCTCTCTCGTGTGCTTATTTATCCCGTGCACATTGTGTGGTGAAATATTAGCTGACGTCATTGCAGAATTTAGAAATTATTAGTAGGAAGTTTATTAAGTAGTAGCATTAAAACAGAAAGGACTATTAGAGCTTCAGGTTTGACTTTCTTTCCAACCACCGGGAGTCAGAACTAGAGAAGGAATTGTCTCCCAAGCATCGTGCTGGAGCAGCTTGGTCCTCACATTCAGCGCCTGTTTACCAGGAGAAGCGGGAGCAGGAGTCTTTTAAACTAATTCTTGCTTTTCCTCTTTTTCTTTATAGGGATACAGATTACCATCAAAGCGTCCCTTTTGGGGGAATGTTTGAAAGGTGACTGAGTAAACGGCATCTTAACTGTCTTTGTGTGACTTAGTTTTGTTGCATTATAGGAAGGAACAAAATAGTTGGGCGGTGGTGGCGCACACCTTTAATCCCAGCCCTTGTGAGGCAGAGACAGGTGGATCTCTGTAGTCAGCCTGGTCTACAGAGCTAGTTCCAAGACAGGGTTATTACACAGAGAAACCCTGTTTTGACCTCCCCCCACCCTCAAAAAAAAGAGGAGCCGAATGTGCGGACTTCATCACATACAGTAACTCTGTACAGTCACACCTAGCCCCTCCCTTCCTGTTTGCTATACAGATTCCTTGTGGGTGCCTCACGTCTTTCCTGGGGTTTGGGCCAGGTACTAAGGCATGGCATAGGCCCACACATGTGCCACAGTAGCTTCCTCATCCATGTGGATTTTTACGTCTAGGAATAAAGGCTTTGCCTAGATTTGCTTTTCTCCTCCCATCTCCCATCATACGCTGTCCCTGCCCCTTGGTTCAGATTCATACAGTTGTCACCGCCAAGAATTCTTGTCAACTAGAAATAAGATAACTGGTCCGGAGGTTTGACATTTCTTTCTTTCTTTCTTTTTTTAAAGATCTATCTATCTATCTATCTATCTATCTATCTATCTATCTATCTATCTATCTATCTATCCATCCATCCATCCATCCATCCATCCATCCATCCATCCATCCATCCATCCATCTATCTATCTATCTATCTATCTATCTATCTATTATGTACACAACATTCTGCCTCCATGTATGCCCGCACGCCAGAAGAGGGCACCAGATCTCATTACAGATGGTTGTGAGCCACCATGTGGTTGCTGGGAATTGAACTCAGGTCCTCTGGAAGAGCAGCCATTGCTCTTAACCACTGAGCCATCTCTCCAGCCCCCGGTTTGACATTTCTTCAAGTCCCCTAGATGGCATCTATTTCCACTTGCTGCTTCATCAAAGGGTCAACTGGGGTGTCACATAGTCATCACCCACAGTAATGTATCCCATCTCACCAGAGGCCAACTCTCTCCATTCCCCTTTCCCCCCTTTTTCTAGAGCAGGGGTTCTCAACCTTCCCAATGCTGTGACCCTTTGATACAGTTCCTCATGCTGTGGTGGCCCCAACCATAAGATTTTATTTGTTGCTGCTTCAAAACTGTGGTTTTGTTACTGCTATGACTCATAATGTAAATAGGGGTGTGCCACAGGGACCTCGACCCACAGGCTGAGAATCAATGATTTAGAAGCATGATTGCTTTTTATGGTGTTGTTTCAAAAAGTTCCCCAGCCCTACTGATTTGATGACAAAATTCGGGAGGCATTCACACTGTCAGCAGCTACTTTTGCACACCCCCTCTCCAGGTAAATCTTGCTGGTGGAAGTGGGCAAATGGAGACTTAAAAAGGCACAATCTGGGCTGCAGGGAACTTAGAATCAAACAGGCAAACAATAAGTAGAACATCAGTAGACTACAGCAAGCCCCCTTCAAAGAGTTTGGATAAAAGAAGGGCAGAAAACTGAGTTGATCTAAACCTCACTTACCATGAAGGAAAGGAGTCTCAGAGAGGCAGGTATCTAAGGGACACCCTGTGACCAGGAGGACCAAGTCACTTCTCTGAAGTGCACTGGATCCCACAGCTGAATCACATGATTTCTGCTGCAGCTGGGCTGTCCTCTGCCCCAGGAGGGATAGATACCAGCTGGAAGCCTCAGTCCCAATCGCCACGCTCTATTTGAAGATTTTGTAATTACATTGCTTATTTTGTCTTTGATTCTTTACCTTTTTAAACATTAGAAATTCTGTAATGCATATTATAAAGCTAAATCCCCATCCCCAAGACGGGCGTATCAGCAGGTTTGCTGGCAACAAGCACCAGCAGGTACCAGGGCCTCCAGACTCTTTGGATTTGCAGCAAAGCTACCAAGAGGGGCTGGTCGCCTGGGCCCAGGATGATTCTGATCGCCTTCTTCAATGCCTCATCTGCATATTTCTGGGGATAGGCCACCCAGGTTTTAGAGATGAACACTCAAATAGCATAAGCCTGGGCCAATGACTGACATCTTCACGTGGACCTGGGTGTCCTTGCCCAGAAGCAGAACTGACTCCAGTAACTTGTACTTCAGTGAGGGTGGCTGATCCTCTCCAGGGAGTGCCCATGCACCATGGTGAGGCGGTCTTCCCCTTTTCAGTGTGTATATCTGTGACGGTCTTCTTGCATCTAAAAACCTATAGCCACTGTGTATCTTTACTACTGAATCTTAAGAGGTCTTTATAGTTCAGCTATGTTCCTTCGTCAACAAGTGTTCTGTAAATTCTCATCCAGTCAGTACCTTTCCTTTTCACCTTAGCAGGCCCTTCGACAGACCTAAGTGCTTTAACTTTGATAACATATAATTTATAATTTTTATGGGTTATGATTTTTTATATCAAGTATAGGAACTACTTATATAGATCTAAATTCTGATTGGGTACTTTCCTATGATTTTTTTCTTACAAGTTTTATGGTTTAAGTTTTATATTCAGTTTATTGACAATAAATTTTTCTATTTTTGTACTATTTTATTGTCCTCAAACTTTTTTTTATATCAGGAAACCAATTTTTATTGATTTGGAACTTTGGAATTCCTAATTAATTTTTAAAATAACTTAATACCGTTTTTAAAAATTAAACTTTTGGGATTCCATTAAACATCAAAGGAAACAATGTGCTGAGTGAAAACAGCTATTTAGTGCCAGTCTATGGGATGGGAAAAGATCTTCACCAGCCCCAAGTCAGAGACAGATCTCAAAGATATATAAGAACTCCAGAAACTAGCATCAAAATACCAAATAATTCATTTTAAAACTGGGGTATATATCTAAACAGAGAATTTTCAACAGAAGTATCTCAAATGGCCAAGATATACTCAAAGAATTGTTCAATATCCTTAGTCATCAGGGAAATGTAAATCAAAATGACCCTGAGACACCAATTTATACGTGTCAGAATGGTTAAGATCAAAAACACTGAGGACAGCTTATGTTGGAGAGGACATGGAGTAAGGGGAACACTTCTCTACTGTTGGTGGAAATCAAAATAGCAGTTTCTCAGAAAATTGAGAATCAATCTACTTCAAGACCCAGATACACCAATCTTGGGCATATACCCAAAGGATGCTCAATTATACCACAAGGACACTTGCTTAACTATGTTCTAGTAGCATTATTCATAATAGGCAGAATCTGGAAACAACCTAAATGCCCCCCAGTCAAAGAATGGATAAAGAAAATGTGGTACATTTACACAATGGGGTATTATTACTCAGCTGTTAAAAAAAATGACATCATGAAATTTGCAAGCAAATGGATGAAATTGGAAAAGAGTGAGGTAATCCAGACCCAGAAGACAAATATGCTATGTATTCACTCGTAAGTGGATAAAGTAAAGGATAACCAAACTACAATCCATAGCCCTGGAGAGGCTAGGTAACAAGGAGGGTCCAAAGAGGGATTCATGGATTTCTCTGGGAAAGGGAAATAGAAGACACTTCCTGGGTAAACTGGGGACAGTGGGGAGGGAGGGTGGGATGTGTGTGGTGGAAGGTAATGGGAAGATGAGAGATCAGGTTGGGTGGGT